AGACAGGTGGCGGTGAGGGCTGGCAGAATGTTTCGTGTCGTATTGTCTATTCTGTGCTGTCTCTGGAACACCTCTCATGGGAAGTGCAGTCTGGAAGGATATGTCATGCAGGAGCAGTGAAGGAAAAGGCAGCAAGCCCTATGAGCTTTTCGTGTAGGCTGTGTTACTCTTCTGGGAGAAAGAGAAGAGGCTTCAGCCTTCTCCAAGCTTTTCAAGTTTGCAAGGCCCTGTCCCGTTACCTGGCTTTCCGCCCTGAATGGGGAACGTTTGCGCACACAAAAGCCTGTGAGGAGGGCATTCCTAACCAAAGGACTGGGGCTGCTCCTCATCTCCAGGAAGGTCCATTGGCTTAGAAACACAGAAGGGCTGTGATAAGGCCTCTGTACCCCTTGGGGGACACACCAGGTGCTCCCCACCTGCTAGTCAATGTAAGTTCTTCCTTTCTGTATGGCTAGCAAATCTACAAACAAAAACTCCCCACAAGAGTGAGGGTCCCCTCTCCCCTGATAGGGAAGAAAGTCCATGGTTGACAGTTTTCTTCTCCCCTGACCCTATTTAAAAAGCAGCTGGATTGCAAAAGCCCTGATGACGGTGTGTGGGGCCTGCCTCTGCCTTGAGGACTTTGACATGGCCGCTGTTGATTTTCCCGTTCCTCTGCCAGCCCTCCAGCCTATCTACCAGTTTGTGTTTGCTGTCTAGAGCATTTTAAATACAGTAGCGTTTGGGGTGGAAGCCCTGTTGACTGTCCTTGTGATCTGCACTGTTGGCATGTTTTCTTTCTGAAAATAAGTAAATGCTGTCTGGAACTGAACTAGAATGGCTCTCCTGTCAGCAGAAGTCGAAATCTCATGAGCCCCAAGAGTGCACAGGCTTGGTGATGCCCAAACGCAGTGTCTCCAATAGACGGCCTCCGGGCTGCTGAGGATCTGAGTATCTGTTTGTTATCCAAAGGTTATAAAAGGGAAATAAACAGTCTTCCATATCGGTGTCAGCCTTGTAGAAATGTAGCCCACAAGCAGAGGCCTTTCCGAGCCCCTGAAAAGAAGCCGTTTGTCCTAGCAGCGTGTCTTTCCTAGCAGCGTGTCTTTAGCACTCAGAGCAGGGCCGAGCCCACAGTGGTGTGATATGTTCACTATAGTTTCCTGTTCTAGGGCCAAAGTTCTATAGATGTCATGAGACCCGCATTCACCATGTGGGGTTCACAGGGCACCCTTTGGGAGCCTTCCACCAGTGCCACATGGAGGAAGCTCAGAGCTAGGAAGTAACCCGACAAAGCACGTTCACCCAACCACAGGAGAGGAAACTGACTCTTTAATGGCCTTGCCTTTGTGCATGGCGACCACCTGGGCGCAATTGCCAGGAGTGAGCGTTATGTCTGTTGGATGCAAGCAACAAATACACAACCTGAACTCGGGGTAGGAGAGCCGCATCCTCAGCCTCGTGAAGAACAGACTCGACACTCCGCCCGCTGAGTGCTGACAAGAGGTTGCTTTCTTTGCTCAAGTATTTTGCTCAGTTAAACCCAGGCCCACATGCTTGTTCTGGCGACTGTTTTTCCTGAGAGCTCTATGAGGTTAATGGCCACACCCTGCACATGCCTAGCAAGCCTTTTGTGAGGGCTCGTCTGAATTGTGATTTACTGGAACAGTAAAATGTGCTTTAGATTTAAAAATTTTATCAGTATACTTGTTCATTAACAATTTATATAAATTACATGTTAGAAATATTTTATATATTGGGATAAATACATGTTCTTGAAATTAAATAATTCACCTGTTTTATTTCATTTTTACTTCATTTAATGTGGCTGCTGTCAATTTTTTTCTTTTTCTTTTTTCTTTTTTCTTTTTTTTTTTTTTTTGCAGGGGTGGGTGTGGGTTTGGGTTTTCTTGAAACAAAAGCTGTCTAACCTCGAACTCACATAGATCCGCCTACCTCTGCCTCCCCAGTGCTGGGATTAAAGGCGTGACCCACCACAGCTGACGTACTTGCAAATTTAGCCTACCCGATTGATGTCAGTATTGAAGGTTAGCCTAACACATGACATTTAGGCTTATAGTGCCACCTGCTGGCCGGGCGAAAGCAAAAAATGAATGCGTGAAAAAGGAACCTGAGCTGGATGTAGTGGCCTAGGCTGGCCTCGAACTCCATGGGTGACTGAGGATGGCCTTGAGCTCCTGATCCTCTGGCCTCCACCTCCTCCCAAGTGCTGGGATTACTGAAACCGCAGCTTTCCAGGAGCTGCAGAAACATAAATGGCTGAAGAAGTCCCCAGACCGCCAGCACCGCCTTAGCAAGGGCAGTGATAAACTGTTGCAGACCTGAGTCCCAAACCTCGTGGGGACTGATGCGGCCGAGAGATAGGGAGCCCGGGTTTGTGTCTCACCTCTGCATTTAGTCATTGCTTTGAATGAATTCAGGCTTAGCCCAGACTGGTCTCAAACTCAGTTTGTAGCTCAGGGTGGCCTTGAATTTCTCATTTTCGTGCCTCCGCTTCTGGGTTTATAGACATGTGTCAGGCCTCTGTGGTTACTGTTCTTAAGAAATAATACATACCAAAATTTAACAACGCAGAGAAGACATCCCCAGGGACATGTCATTCTCTCTTTATTGTTTTGGGGCTTCTTATTTTTCTTTTATGTGTGTGTGTGTATGTCTGCCTGCATACCACATGAGTGCCTGGTGCCCGAAGAAGTCAGAGGAGGCAGAGCATTGGATCCCCCTGGAACTGGAGATACAAATGGTTGTGAGCTGCCAGGTGGGTGCTGGGAATCAAACCTGGGTCCTCTGGAAGAACAGCCAGTGCTCTTAACTACTGCGCCATCTCTCCAGCCCCTGTCATTCTCTCTCTACAAAGTACTTACCTTAACTTGTCAAGAACTTGAAAGTAGGAATCTTGCTGATAAATTAAGCATTTCCACATAATAAACCACCCCAAATCTTACTGGCTTACAGCAGCAGTGGTCACTTAACATCTCTCACGGTTTGAGTGTTGGGAACTCAGCCGGCCCATCTGGGCATTTCCTGCAGAAGGTCTGTGTTGAGCTTGAAGTCAAATGTTGGTTACAGTCATCTGAGTTTCTCAGTAGCTTCAAGGATCCACTTCTGAGCTAGCAAGATGATTCATCATGGAAGGGTGTCTGCCTCTAAGCATGCAACCTGGGTCTGATTCCCCAGGACCCATAGAGTGAGAGAAGAAAACTGAGTTCTAAATAAATAAATAAAACGTACTAAACAATGAGTGTGTTTCCAAGGTGGCCCATTCAGGTAACTGGCAAGATAATGCCTGTGAGCTGGAGGCACCAGGTCCGCCCCCACAGAGCAGCCAGTGTTCAGGACTAAACACAAGTCTTGGTGCCCTTCAAGGAGTAGCCTCAAGAAGACCACATAATGCCATCCACTGAGGTGCGTGTGTAGGAAGGAAGGATTGTGCGTCTTGATAGAGGCATAACAGCATTATGTTGTAAGAGGAAATGTAAGGTGTAATGGCCGTTTTTTAAAAAATATTCTAGCCGGGTGGTACACACCTTTAATCCCAGCACTCGGGAGGCAGAGCCAGATGGATCTCTGTGAGTTTTAGGCCAGCCTGGTCTACAAAGTGAGTTCCAGGAAAGGCTCAAAGGTACACAGAGAAATCCCGTCTTAAAAAACCAAAAATAAAAAAAAAATTAAAAATATCCTAAGTGCCTGTCATAACACTGACCTAGAGAGCATGCCTCGTTTTGCACAGGGGGAGCTGAGGTTCAGGAGAGGGATGTCACCTCCCTGAATCTTCATCCATACGAGAACTAAAGCCCCTTCCTGACACCTCCTACCCAGGCTAGCCACTAGTGTTCTGTGTGTGTGTAACAAAGACTCTCGCTGACTGTTGCATCTTTCCAGTGTCTTCAGGGTGTGCTGGGCTCCATCTTTCAAGTCTCTGTTTCAGTCCTTCAAAGATAACTTTAAATTGGTCATTTTGTTGAACTCAGTTGTGGGTCTTGTAGAAGAGAGCTTTGATAAACCATAATCTGCCTTTTAAAAGTACTACAGCATTGAAGAAACAAACAGTTTCCAATATTTTCAATGCCATTTGCTTCAAAAGAAACCTGGGAATGATAACATTATAATTTGTGTGTGCTTTTTTTTTTGCATTTTCCTTTTTTGGGGTGTGTGTGTGTGTGTGTTAATACATGGTCTCACTAAGTATCCCAGGCTGGCTTCAAACTTACTAGGTATGCTCAAACTCATGGCAGTTCTCCTCCTGAATATTGGGATTAGAGTTATACACCACCACACCTGGCTTATTTGTGTGTGTTTGTATTGTTTAATTATACAAATATTTCATCTTACTTGTACTTGATACAAGAGAGTATGAATCACTGCTTCCTTTCGGTGGCTTCCATATGATTTGGTCATCTTTTCAAAGGTTTGGGAACTGGAAAAATGGCTCAGCAGTCAAGAGCACTGGTTGCTCTTCCAGAGGACCTGGGTTCAACTCCCAGCCCGCATCTGGTGACTTAAACCATCTATAATTCCAGTCACAAGGGATCCAATGTCATCTTCCGGCATCTGTGGGTACTACACACACATGGTGCACAGAGATGCATGCAAGTAAAACATCCCTACCATAAAATTAAAAACAAAATGGAAAAGCAAGTAAACAAACAAATGAGATTTCATTGGGGCTGTCCAGATGGCTCAGCAGTTGAAAGTATGTACTGCTCTTGCAAAGGACCCAAGTTTGGTCCCTAGCACCCACAGTAGGCATCTCACAACTGTCTGTAACTCCAGCTCCAGGACTTCTTACACCCTCTTGTGGCCTCAGTGAGCACCTGCACTTATGTGCACATACCAACACATACATACACCTACAATAATAATGATGATAATAATAATAATAATAATAATAATAATAATAATAATAATAATAATTTTTAAAGAACATTCACCATTTTTGTGATGTTTCACTTCCCAAAATTTCAGCTGCTATAATCCCATTCTGGTGTTCTTGGTTCCAGGTTAAACTTCCTTTTCCTGTAGATCAGATCACAGATCTTCCCAGGAATGACTTCCAGATGATGATTAAGATGCACAAGCTAACCTCAGAGCAGTTGGAGTTCATTCACGACATCCGGAGGCGCAGTAAGAACCGCATTGCAGCTCAGCGCTGTCGCAAGAGGAAGCTGGACTGCATTCAGAATCTAGAATGTGAAATACGAAAACTGGTAAGTTGGCGAGCAGGTATTCACCACCTTGAAGTGACTGAGACTGATGTAAAGTCACATCCGTTACAGCTGGAGAAAGAAGGAGAGGGACAGTCACCCTTCGGGAAAATCTGAGTTTATTCTCAACAGAAGTAACAGCTTTGCATCTGAAATGGACATAGATGTAGAAGTGTGTCATCACACGTCGTCTTCAAGTTTCTTAGGAAATTAGTTCCTTTTCCATGTGTATGTTATAATAGAGTGTGTCTACTGCATGCATATAAAAACCTGATACCCTTCTAAACTAACTCTCTACCCATATGCCTGATTTCCATAACTAGCATTCTGGCCCATGTAATTGTGTGATTCTGAACAAACAGTAAAAATCTCAGCTATACACTAGGCAAGTATCTAAAACACTTTATTGGTTTGTTCAGTTGAAAAGCAAGACAACACTGTTCTTTCTCCATCAGCGTTTTCCAAGTCTTAAATAATAAATAGGCTGTGTGTTTTACTTTGCTTTCTAACACCATGACTAGAGGCAGCTTGAGGTAGGAACAGTTTATTTGGCATATACATCCCAATCACATCGTGGACGAAAGTCAGAGCAAGAACTGGAGGCATGAACCGATGCTGAAGCCATGGATGAACTCTGCTCACTGGCTTGCGCTCTGTAGCTTGCTCAGCCTTCTTTCTTATACGTCCCAGGACCACCAGCCCAGAGGTAACACCATGCACAGTGGGCTGGCCCCTCCTACATCAATCATTAGTCAATAAAATGCTCCCCACGGACTTGCCTACAGGCCAGTCTGATGGAGGCAGTTCCTTGGTTGACATTCCCTCTTCCCAGATTACTCTTGCTTGTATCAAGTTGACAAACAAACAAACAAACCTCTTGTCTCAGTGCTGAACAGTAGTTCCACATGCCCATGCGTGACTTAGAGATTCATAGTCAGGGGCCTTTGGTTTCTTACAAGAGGGTCTTCCTATGTAGACCAGGCTGGCTTTAAATGCAGTCCTCCTGCCCCTGCCTCCCAGGCGCTGGTAGTATGGGCATGTACCGCCAAGGTTCCATGTTTTTACCCAGGCTGTTCTTCCTTTTCTAAGGAAAGCCAAAACCATGTCATAGTGCTACCTTATTTTCTTCTCCCACAAATTGTCCAGGAACATTTTTTAGATGAGTAGGCCCACAGGGGTTAGTGCCTAGGCCAAGAAGTTATGACAAAGGGGCCTGAGATTCCTTTCCTAGAACACGCTGGCCCTCATTTTTAGACCTCCTGATTCAGTGGAGAGGGGACCAGGTTGCTGGGCCCATTGGCTTATGTCTGAGTGGCGGTCATTTCCTGACAGAAGTCCACGGTCACCGACTGGCTTGAGTGGTCAGGGCTGACCAGCCTGGTCTGATGCTGTGTTGTTCCCAACAGGCCCTGTACTCAGTTCCTGCTCCCACGATGTCTCCCACATGCTCGATACCCTAATTTGCAGATGCACATAATGTATTTCTCTCAGGCTGCACGCGTACATCTGTTTATTTTTCATTTTTAAAACATGTTTTCTAGATAAATTTATAAATATTTTAGCAGGTGTCCTTTCCCCATATAAATCTCTCGCTAACGCGCATCCCCACACTGCCTGCCGGATTGCATTCGTATTAGGCCGTGCACAGTGCCTGTGTCAGAGTCGTCCTGTTCCTCTCCCTCCTCCTCATCCTTCCTCCCATCCTTGCCTCCGCTCGCCTGCAGGACGTGCAGAGGGGCTGGGTGCCACTCTCCCCACACTGCTTCAGACACCCCGTCTCTTAGGCTGCTTTATTACGTGTCATGAACCGCACCCCCTCACACAAATGCTGCTGGTAAAACTTGGAATGAGTCTCCTCTCTAGGGCTGAACTCCTCTCTCAAGGGGTGAGACATTTAAGAACTTCAAGAGCACATGTGGAGTTTTGCTTAATGAGGAAAACACCTTAGAGCCGTGGGCTAGCATGTTCAAGCACAGACTCCGCGTTTCTGTCCCCTTGCCCCTCCATCCCAGTGCCCAGGGATGATCCCTGCCCAGGATTCAGTGTGTGGCTCCCAAGCCTTGCAGAGGACTTGCTGTGTTCAGTCTGCTGTGCTGTAAGAGCCGCAGAGGCTGCTGGTTAGGTCTAACCATATGAAGTTGCTGATAAGCAATCTCCTTTGCTTGCTTGGTTTTCTGTAAGTAGAGTTTCTTCTTCATAGTAGTTTTAGACTCCTAGTAAGACTGAATGGCGTATCTGGAGTCCCCGAATGTCCCTGACTCTGGACACTCCCGACAAAAGCAGTATTATTTGTTACGGTGGAAGAGCCGACGTTGACATACCATTTCCATCTAGCAGCCCTGCTCTGTTTTAGAGTTCACACTCACTGTTGTGCATTATATGGATTCGTACAGGGTGCTGTCAGAGCCATAGTGTGCAGAGTAGATTCACTGGCCTCCACCATCTCTCCCTCCCTTGATCCCTGGCAGCCACTGGCTTTTTGGGGGTTTGTTTGTTTGGTGTTGGTTTTTTTTTTTTTTTCTGTCTTTTTCAAAATATCAAACAGTTAGTTGGCTTTTACTCCACAGAAATAGTAACCTAATATATTAGGGGAAGATTTTCCAACTATAAGGTTCAGAACGAAGAGTTTTCTGGTCAGTTCCCTACGAACTCCAAACTCTAGGAGAGCAGACTGTCACTTGATTCTCTGCAGCTTTGCTGTTGGTGGTGACTCAGCTGGTTGCTTCCTGGGCCTCAGCGGGAGGGAGGGAGGGAGGGACACCACACTGGGGAAGGTGTGTCAGTGCTCAAGTGGTAAGGCAGCCAGCTAGTCAGCTGTGGCATACGGGGAAATGCACCTTAGAGAGAAATACACATGCAGTCCCCGGACAATGTGTCTTCTAACTTCCCAGACTCTGGACCAATCATTCTGGGGTTAGGTCACAGTATTGGATGCCAAAACAAAGGTTTGAGACCCCTCTGAAATGAGGCTTTGTGTCCTCTCGTGCAGGCTTGATCAAGCCCTCTCGTTTTTTGTTTTTTTCTCCCAGGTGTGTGAAAAAGAGAAACTGTTGTCAGAAAGGAATCAACTGAAAGCGTGCATGGGGGAGCTACTGGACAACTTCTCCTGCCTCTCCCAGGAGGTCTGTCGAGACATCCAGAGCCCAGAGCAGATCCAGGCCCTGCACCGATACTGCCCTGTCCTTATCCCCATGGATCTCCCTGGAGCCAGTGTTAACCCCCCTCCTTTGGGGGTTGAGCAGAGCCTTGCACCCTCCCAGTGCGCAGCAGGAGGAAATGTACCCTGCTGCCTGGAGCCAGGAGCAACCCCCTCTGGGCTCCCCTGGGTGCCCAGCAACACCCCTGAGAATTGTACCTCTGGGAGGAGGTTGGAAGGCGCTGACCCTGGGACCTTCTCAGAAAGAGGACAGCCGCTGGAAGCCGGAAGCCAGTCGGTGACCGTGGACTTCTGTCAGGAAATGACCGAGAAGTGTACGACAGACGAACAGCCCAGGAAAGAGTATGCCTAGCCAGTGTGATGAGCTCTGCCTCCGGTCCTCACACCTCTCCTATCCAGGTGTTCTTCGGCCAGCCAGTGGCGCTGTTCATCTGTGTCTTGAAGACCCAAGAGCGAATCTGGTGCACACTACAGCAGTCTTAGCAATACTGTTCCGAAGTATTCCCTCCTCTCCATAAGCAGGAGTGCTGGTTACCTTCACAATGGTGCTACCCCTTGCCCTGGCAAGGAAGACGACAGTGCCGACACTGTCTGTCTGTGGGTTAATTGCAGACTTCACAGGGATAGACTACACCTCTAGGACCCAACCACGGATTTTTTTTTTTTTCTCAGTGGCCCATGTCACAAACCCTATCTCAGGAATTTCTTCTGAATGTTCAATTTTTTTCATTGAAGACAGCTTCTATACACATCAAAGTTTTATAGCTATACTGTACATATTATATATAATATATATGAAATATATATCCATATGCAAAAGTCCTGCATGCCTCGATTTTTCTCATCCTAAAACTGGAAACTTCGTTTATCATTTACAGACAGGTTCCAACATTCCTCTTTTGTCTCTGATGCCAGAACTGGTTTTGTAACTTGTCAACATGGTCATTTTTTCCCTTGCTTCACAGTTCAGTGTCGATCTGTACTTATTTACAGACAAAATTCAATGTTGGAAGCTTTTTCTCAAGGTGTGCTCTCAGACCTTTTCCTTTGGTTGGTTTGGTTTCGACACCACCAGACACGGTGTCGTGTGAGCATTGTGGGTCTGTTCTTTTCTCCTTCTGTTTTTCCCTTGGTGTTGCGGATACTGTACAGCAATGGTCAACTTTGCCACTTGCACTGAGTTTTGAGTCAAACCTATTTTCTTAAATGAAGTTGTAACTTCAGTATAACTCAAGTATATTGTATAGTCTTTGCTTTTAGTTAAAAAGTAAAACGTTTTAGCTAATTAAAAAGCACTCAGGTGATAATTATGTAGGAAAAAAAAAAACCAATCTTGCCAAATAATGAACCCATCCTAGGATGTGTAGACAATAATCTGCTTGAATATTTTTGTAGCTCGCTTCCTCCCCACCTCCCCTTAGTAAAGCTGAAGTGCAGATAATTCAGAGCTGACACTGGATGTTCAGTTCCTGCGCGGGGAGAGAATTCGGATGGCTCACGGGACTGGTAGCGACAGAACAGGATCCTGTGGTGTTGTGTCGGAGCGCCACAGGCAGGGGCGAAGAGGAGCCGAGGGGGAGTCCCATCCATTTCGGCATGTCATTCCGGCCTCCTCCGCTTGGCTTGTGCTCCGAAATGTCTGCTTCTCTGAAGGGCACAGCTAACCAGCCACCCAGCTTTCCTGCCCACACCCGGCCTCCAGGCCATCGTAAGACCTGAGGGGATTTGAACCACAGCCTCAGCCCCCTCGGTTAATTGAGCTCGCTGAGAGTAGGAAAGAACATGGCAGACTCGAGCCTGAGATCCATGTGGACATAGGCTAACGCATCCTTTTCCTTTCGTTCTCCAAATGCTCTCTCTACTCTGAGGTTTTTGTCCCCTCTGCCCTCTCCCCCTAACCCTCCCACACACACCTACCCATTCCTCCCCAGATAACAATTTGTGTCCCTCGCTAAAATCTAGTTGGTTTGCAAATCTGGAGAGCAGCTTCCTCGGCACTGAGGTATCCTGGCCCCAAGCCACGCTTACAGGAAGGCGTGCCCCAAGGAGGAATCAACTCCCTCCTTCCGGTGGTCTCCCTCTCCTCTCACTCAGCAGCCGGGAGACCACTCCAGCTGTGCAAGGTTGTCCAGAAAAGTCTGGTGTTGGGGGAGGGTAGAGGGCAGTCGGTTGGCTTCGTTTCCTCTTCTGTGCCATTGTTTGGACAATATTAAAGCTGCATGTGGAAGGGGAAATTAGTGTATGACTAGTAGGCAAACAGTGAAACCCTAGTAACATATGTTCTAGTATTATTAACTTCTTTCTGTACCAGTAGTAGTGCTAAATGTTTAAATACGTACGAATGCCAGACGTTGTTGGTTCATGCAGTAGAATTTAAGGGGGAAATGACTTCTTTTAAAATAGGTCCATTTTTAAAACATGCCTCTGGGTTTTGAGCGTGTGTGTGTGTGTGTGTGTGTGTGTGTGTGTGTGTGTAGATTGTGATACTGGAGCTGCCATCTTCATGACACCGTTGGTGTTTCTTGGTCTAGTCGGACAGTTCCCTGCTTCACCCGGAGGCTTATCTTCATGAAAAGCTAGCATGTAACTCAATGTGAATCATGGGATGCTCACAGCTGCCTATTAACGGTGCAGGAGTCAGCAGACAGTATTTTTTGTTTAACTCTCTTACTGCCTTTTTAAGTGACCTCTTCTAAAGAAACAAAAAGGCTTGTTTTCCGCTCTGGCCATCAGCAGTGCAGAGCGGCTTCTCAGCTTGTTTTGTGCTGTCCCAGCTCATGGGCAGCTGGTAGTCTTGCCACATTCCACAGTTTACCCCCAAGTTTCTGTTACCAGTAGCTCAGACCTGTGTGGCAGCCATTTCCGGGGTGGGGGCTGGGGGCCGGGTCTCCTCATTTCTCTCCGCCCTAACTCAGCTCTCACCTTTCATCCATCATTTTCCCCCTCTTCTTCCACCCAATCTCTGCCATGGGAACTAGTTTTTAAAACTTACTCTAAAATTTCTGTTATGCTAACATTTCTATGACTTTGGTATTTTTAACAAGTAATTTCATTCAGCATGCACCAGGAACAGCGACTGGCTTTGTGTAATTTACTCATGGGACACGTCTGTCTCCTACTGTTCCAAACCATGGCTTATCAAAATTGTTCCTGGGTTGATCCAAAGGGAGGGCTCCCTGGGGACCAGAATCTGAATTCTACAAGTAGAATTCAGAAACCCCCAATCTGTCCCTTCCCGGGATTCCTCAATCAGGCTCATTCCCTCTGTGGAAAAGAGAAGGGAATAGAACGGAGGAGAGTGTTCGCACAGTAGGAGACATTTCGTTGGGTGTTCGAAGGTCTTTTCTTTCACAGATACAGGACACTCCAATCACAGGCTGTTTGGGGGGATCCCAGTGACAGCCTGGTTGGGTCTCCCGGAGGCTGAGGGGTGAATGTCAAGGTCCAGGGCTAGCACAGGCGATGCTAAGACGGATAGTACCCCACCCAAACGCAGTCCTCCCCTGGGAGCAGCTTTGTCCTCCTGTGTCTCTCAACGGCCCTCGTGGTCAGGTTGCCCAGACGGGAGGCAGGTGTGTGCTTTGCCGTGTGTGTGTTTGTTTCTCTGCGTTATCTGGGGGTGCCTTGAATAAAGTCGAACTTCATGACTTACTGATTCTGGAACAAAGCGGTTACAAAACCTTTTTGAAAAGTTGGCGAGGTTGCTAGGCCATCCTGCTACTTCTCTTCCAGGTTCCCTAACAATGACTCAGGCGTCAGGGGTGATGCTGCAGTAGACAACGTTATTTTTATGTCTGTCATACAAGTAATTTATTTACTGTCTTTCTCGAGGTATGCTGCTTTTTAACATGCACTATAATTTTGGATGTAATCCTTGCGTTGCTTTTCCAAGGAAGTTTAAACATGGCTAGTAACTAGTGTGCTAACCACCTCTTCTGAAAGGAGCTCCAGAGCACCCACAGGACCTGCATGGAGGACTGGCTGAAGCCTTCGCTTTTCTCTTGTTTTACTGTTACGATTTGTCACTGAAGAAGAAAAGATGAAGCAAACAGAGGTTTGAAAGTATAGAACTTCTCAGAAACTGCCCAGTCTTGCCCCAGGGGCTGCTCTGCATCCCATGAAATCACAGAGTCCTCCCAAATGAGTCAGTCTATAAACATGGACTCTCATAGTCCTCCCAAATGAGTCAGTCTATAAACATGGACTCTCATAGTCCTCCCAAATGAGTCAATCAGTAAACATGGACTCTCACAGTCCTCCCAAATGAGTCAGTCTATAAACATGGACTCTCATAGTCCTCCCAAATGAGTCAATCAATAAACATGGACTCTCATAGTCCTCCGGAAGGAGTCAGTCTATAAAGCTTCTTCAAGTCTGCATTTGGCTGCATATTCCTATACACTGTGGCCCATTTAAACCAGGAGCTGTTAATTGATGACTCCAAGCTGCTCCATCGCTGCTTACAGTGGAGGGGAATCTCAGATCTAAAAGAGAGCAAGAATCAAGGTTTATCCTCAGATCTCTTTCCTCAGCACCCCGACACACACACACACACACACACACACACACACACACACACACACACACACCCCAGACTAAAGAGAAGGATTATTTTAAAAGAATAAAGCTCTTTGTTGTATCATGAGTTTGTATTTACTTGAGGATTTTGTTGGAGATTCCATTTCTGGCAAGTCAGTCCACAATGCCTTGTGGGGTTGGTATTCATAAAGGAAGTCTGTGCATGGAGTTATTTTGTGTTCAAAATGTATAATACTGCCCGAGCCATCTCATGACCCAAGTGTCAAAGACTGATGCTGTAGCATAGGATATATTTGTGCATAAATAGTGTGTACAAATAGTATTTGTACATTGAAGAGACTTGTCGTAGCAGATCAAAGGTAAATTATTCAACTGATGGTGCAAAAACATTACTTGCAAAGTAATTGTATAGTATTTTCCTACACTCCACCCTGGGAGATCATATTTATAACAAGTGAATTATTAGTGCATTTTAATTGTAATATGAAATGATGCTGCCATTTTGTGAAGAGTATCCACTTGGTTGCAGAGGCCAACTTTTATAGCTTTGGTTTAATGTTGTGGCATGGTGTATGCATTTCTCTATCAAGCGATGGATAAACTCTTGGCTTTCATTTTCATTCCAGTTTATTGACCTCAGATAAAAACAATGGCTATTCATGGAAGTGTATCAAGACCACTCATTTCAGGTAGACTCACACTCAGTGCCAAACGCTCCCATGGGAATAATCAAATATATATCAGGAAGAGTGAAGGGACTTGGACAAAAATGGGTTTTCCTACAGATGGGTGCTAAATCTTCTACCAAACATGTCTCTGGGGGCAAACAGTTGGCCTCCGCTTGGGTCCTAATAATGTATTTTGGCTGTGGCAACGCTGGGATGCCCATTCACACTCTGACACAAGAGCCTGGCACTTGTAACGAATTATCAGGAAGATTGCAGATGCGTTTGGGAGCTTCGGGTACTCGATAGACACGGTGAGCCATTCAAGGCAAGAGGGCCTGTGTGAATTTGTTCCAGAACCAGTCTGATGCAAGTGCACCTCTAATATATGCCTTACAAACTCCAGAGGCCATATGCAAAACAGGGTCTTCTCAGTGTATGCAAGGGGCTGCAGCCCCTCCTCCTCCTCCCCAGCTCAAACAATACGGACAGTTTTCACACATATCTACCTGTATAACCCTCCGTACCTCTCATAACTGGTCAACGACTGTAACAGGTTACATCAGGTGTTTTTCTACATACTTTTTACACAGATTCTATGCGATTAATGTAACTTAATTCAACGCATCATTTTATTGTACAAGTTCTTACGCTTGGCCTTATTTTTTCCTAAGTGATTGTGGTTTTTCTTGTGGTTTTTCTTGTAAAGATATTGAGATGGCTGTTGATGCTTATTCTCTGTAACTAAGAATTTTTACCTTTTTGGGAAAAAGCATTGCTATGGATTAATGAATTGAAACTTCATTTACTCGTTGTAAATACACTATTGTGAAAAAAATCACTCAATTGAATTGCTAGTGTTAACTGAATTTTGTCTAGACGCCATTTCTGTTGATGAAATAAAGACATATCATTCTGCATTGTAAAAGCTTCTAATCCTGTTTTACATTTTGTAGAGTAGAAAGCCTCAAGAAATGTATTCTCCACGAAAGTCCATTTCTTGTCCTCTAGTTTGGACCCTTCCCTGCTCCCTGATTAATCAGATTAGAAGTGTTAAGAATTTTAAAATGCTATTTTTTTATCTGAATTTTTAAAAAATCCCCATTGCACATGAAATTAGATAACAGACATTAGAACCACTTCCAGTTTCAATATTTCACTATGCAAATGTTGCTGTGGATAAAGAACGTTGTTTTTACAGCTGTACCTGAATCTACAATTACATCAATAAGGGTTGACTAGAAAGAAGCCAGGTGTGGTGGCACATACCCAGGTCCAGGTACTCCAGAGGCTGAAGCAGCATCACTTGAGCATACATGTTTAAGACCAGGATGGGAGCATAGTGAGGCTGCCCTCTCAACAACCTAAGTGGGGGCCTAACACCAAACAGATAGCTCGTGTGATGATTCTACAAGGGACAGAAGTTGAGGGTTGTGGTCAGGGAATACACATAAGCTAGAGAGATGTAGCCCATGGCCAGTGTCTTCAGTTGTTATGGGAAAAGAAGTGGACACGCTGCATTGTGGGCAGACCAACATCTATGGATAACACTGAGCTCCAGCTGCAAAGGGAAAAAGAAACTACCAGAAGAGGGCCACTGCGATCTGCTATGAGCAGTGAGTGTACCTGATACCTATTCAACCCTAGCTTCAGCAAGTAATGTCCCATCTGCCAGATGGGACAGCTGAATTAAAAGCTGAAGAGTTCTCCCTCGGAGAATATCATAGGCCTTACTTAGTGAGTTAACGAGAGCTCCCTCATATACTGTATACTGTTCCGGATCCCCACGGTCAGACCATTTTCAGTGTAAGAGGTAGATTACCTTTCTTTGCCTAAAGGAAAGAAAGAATTCAGTGTTTTCCGGGGGAAACAGAACATAGTCCTTACATTTTGGGCAGGAAAACTTGGAGGTTGGCAGCCACCTTCATCTCCAACCCTGGCCGCTGGTTCTGTGGCAGACGCAGCCTTGCCAGCTGTTCCATCCTGCAGAAACACTCCAGCTCTGTCCTGGCCCTGGCATGCAGACACAGCCTTGCCAGCTGCTCCATCCTGCAGAAACACTCCAGCTCTGTCCTGGCCCTGGCATGCAGCTGCTCTTCCTTGCTTGCCTCAAACGTGCTTCTCACCTGTAAGTCATATCTGGTTCTAGACATAACGAATGCCCTCCTTCTATGTCGGGCCCTGGCAGCAATTCCTGTTGCATTTAGAAATAAAGAAATTCTTTGAAAGCCCTTTAGAATCTCTGAGCCAAGACTCTGTCCCTCAGATGCATAGGCAGGCTCTACGTAGCTTCCTTTACCAGCAGCTAGTGATGGTGTGCGTCCCAAGCAGGGATGAGCCCCCAGGGTCCTCCACCACGTGAGCCCCTTTGCTCGTTACCTCCTGTGCTCTCACACACCTCATGTTCCTGCAGCTCATGCTACAAAACTATGATGGACCAGCCTGGTCAGGCAGGAAAACGCATTACTTTCCATGGCTAGGTTTTACTTTTACCACCCAAAGACAAGTGCCTCTCTGAGGCAAGGAGCCTTGTCCCAAATCAGGGGCTGGAAACCTTCTGATACCAGTGTTGGCACTCACTGGAAGTATTCTATTTCCCACCAGGCCCTCAAACTTTGTCTTTAATTTTTATTCATGCTGTAAAGCGACAACCCTGTAAAGGAGGCCTCATGACAAACCTGTTAACCTGATAGGACAATGAAGAATGTGGAGCAGGAAGTGACAGGTAAGGTACTGTTGCTGCCTTGGGGTTTCTACTGTCGTGATCAGACACCATGACTAAAGCAGCCTGGGAAGGAGAGGGTTCCTTTTGCTTACACTTTCCATCACAGTCCAGCATCACAGGGACTCAAGGCAGGAACCGGGAGGCAGGAACTGAGGCAGAAGTGATGGAGGAGTGCCGCTTCCTGGCTTGCTCCTCATGACTTGCTTAGCCTGCCTCCTTGTAGCACCCAGGACCACCAGGTCAAGGGTGGCACAGCCCACAGTAAGCTGGGCCCTTCCACATCAACCATCAGTCATGAAAATGTGCCACAAGCTTGCCCGTAGGCCAATCTGATAGGGGCACTCTCTCAACTAAGGAGGTTTCCTCTTCCAAAATGACTTTAGCTGGTGTCGAATTGACATGGAACTAGCCAGCACAGTGTCCATATGTAAGTATACTTGTTCAGCCAACATTCTGCAACACACTGTGCATCCAGTATTAAGAGAGCATGAACCCGATCCTTAAAGCATTCACCAGCTGGCTGAGCAGAGATGTATACAAACAAATTATTTTTTATGGCTTCTAACTCTCACAGACAGTAGAGCATGGCTTCCTGGGGGATCCTGGCCCTTAGACAGCTTAGTCTGGGTTTGGATTCCAATTAGCATTTCCCCTTGGGGGACCTTTAGCTGTGGAGGAAATTACTTAATCCTTTTGAGCCCTTTTGTCTGATCTATAAAATGGAGATGAACCATCATGATTTTACACAATCGTATGAGGAAGAGAAAAATGCACTGTGAGAATGCACCTGGGATGGAATATGTACTTTAAAAGGGTGGGCTGGAGAGATGGCTCCATGGTTAAAAGCCTTGTCTGCTCTTCCTAAGGACCCTGGTTCTGCTCCCAGAATCTGCACAGAGGCTCACAGACATCTGTAGCAACATCCCCAAGAGATCCAACACCCTCTTCAGACCTCAGGCACTGCATGCCAATGGTGCACAGACATACACTCAAAATTAAAAATAAAAAGTAGGGCTTGGCCTTTCATCTTCCTGGTCTTCACTGGCTCTCCTACAAACTCACTGTCTATAGAAGACTAGATCTTGAGCCAATGAGATGGCCTGAGGTAAGGGCACCTGCCACCAAACATGGCAACCTGAGTTTGATCCCTGGAACTCACCTGGTGAAGGGAGAGAACCAACTCCTGCAATTTGCCCTCTGACCTCCCCACAGGCTGTGGTGTACGAATACTCACACACATAATAAGTTAATTAAAAAGTAGACTGATTCTTCATATCCTATTTCATTTCCACCCCAACACGATGGAATAGGAGAGTCTTGGTACCATTTGGACTAGAAGCATAGAGTAACTACAGTCAATCAAAGGCTGGCCTTTGCAACCTTCCAGCAGATGCCCAGCCTCTATCTGAATCCTTGCAATGGAAAGCCCAGGTCTGATGGTCATAAAATTTTTCTGGGACCAGAGTGTATTAGGATAATCTTTTTGTACAATGTGTGAAGATAAGTCTCTGTTTAACCTCACCTGCCTACAGCACCTTCTGATTGGTTTAATGAAGAGCTGAATGGCCAATAGCTAGGCAGGAGAGGATAGGCAGGACTTCCAGGGAGAGATAGGAACCCTGGGAAAGAATTGGAAGCACAGGAGATTTGCCATCCAAACACAGAGGAAGTTGGATGTACAGTACTGAGGAGAGGTAATGAGCCATGTGGCAGAATGTAGATTACTATAAATGGATTAATTTAAGTTTTAAGAGCTAGTTGGGAACAAGTGTATGTAACAAGCTTTGTTATCAGCTGCCAGTTCACAAATAATGACATGGAGACCTCTTATTAATTATGAAAGTTCAGCCTTAGCTTAGGCTTAACTCTTATAACTTAAATTAACACATTTCTATTAATCTACATTTTGCCTCATGGCTTTTTACCTTCCTTTCATTCTGTATGTCTGACTCCCTCCATATCTCCTTGCCATCTCCGTGTACCTCAATTATCTCCTCTTACTTCCTCTCTCTGTGCCTGGAAGTCCTGCCTATACCTCCTACCTAGCTATTGGCTGTTCAGATTTTTATTGCACCAATCATAGCAATACATTTTTACACAGTGTGCAAATACCCCACAACAAGCATAAGCTAAGGCCAAGTTTTCATAATTAATAAAAAGTCTCCTTGTCCCCAGACAGTAGTGGCACACGCCTTTAATCCAAGCACTCTGGAGGCAGAGCCAGGCAGATCTCTGTGAATTCGAGGCCAGCCTGGTCTACAGAGCGAGATCCAGGATAGGCACCAAAACTACATGGAGAAACACTGTCTCAAAAAACAAACAAGAAAAAAAAGTCTTCTTTAAAAAGTCTTCTTGTCATTATTAGAGAACTAGTGATATAAAGAAAGACCTGTTATTGCCGGGCGGTGGTGGCGCATGCCTTTAATCCCAGCACTTGGGAGGCAGAGGCAGGCGGATCTCTGTGAGTTCGAGGCCAGCCTGGGCTACCAAGTGAGTCCCAGGAAAGGCGCAAAGCTACACAGAGAAACCCTGTCTCGAAAAACCAAAAAAAAAAAAAAGAAAGAAAGAAAGAAAGACCTGTTATAAGAGTGTAGCTCAGTGGTACAGTACTTGTCTACTATGTACAAAGCCTTGAATTCAATTTCCATTACTGTAAAGAAAGAAAAATAGAGGGAGTATTCTAGCTTGCTTTATATTGCTGTGATAAGATACTGACCAAAAGCAACTTGGAAAGGAAAGGGTTTATTTCATCTTTAGACTTCTAGGTAATAGTCCATTACTGAGGGAAGCCAGGGCAGGACTCAAGGCAGGGAGTGAAGCAGAAACCATGGAGGAATGTTATTTACTGGCTCAATTCTTCCGGCCTGTTCAGCTATCTTCCCTATACAATCTGGACCACCTGCCCAGTGGTGGTACTGTGCACAGTGGGCTGGACCTCCCAATATCAATTGTAATCAAGAAAATGCCCACAGGCATGCCCACAGTCCAGTCAGAGGCAGACAAGCCCTTGGTCGAGGTTCCCTCTTCCCACATGACTCTAGTGTGTGTCAAGTTGACAAAAGCCAACCAGGACAGGGAGGGAAGGAGAAGGTTGATTTCCTGGACTGACGATGCATCTAGCATGTACCTCTCTGACAAAGAACACCTACTAGTGTGAGGCACCCTGGAATCCTAGGTTCTCGGGAGACTGTGGTAGGAGGATC